TAGTGTGTTAGCATGTTAACATTTGATGATTAGCACTAAACGGAGGTTGATATGAATTACATCATTTGGGGGAGCAGATGGTAAGTGTACAAATGTACAATAAAAAGGTTTAAAATGTAAAAAAAATCTTAGGAAAATTCATCCAGAGGGGAACATGTCAACCTCATCGTGGCGCTAAAGAAAAAGTAATCGGATTGACAAAGTCTGTAGGTTTCATCCTGAGGGAACCATGAATGTCTGTCCAAAATAATGAATATGTTTAATAGTTATTAAGATATTACAACCACCATCAATGTAAGGTGCAAACCATCACACTGGAATGTTACATAGCTCAAAAAGGCAGCAGAGAATCCTCACTGTCATATTATTTTGTTACGACCCTCTTGTGTCTTTAGTGTTGTCTTATAAAGGGATCTAACGTTACATTGAATATGTTTTAAACCTTTGTGTTTTTTGTTCTACAGAGAAAGTCATCTTCAAGCCCAATGATGTGTCAGTGTTCTCCACGCTCAGCGTAAACGGACGGCTGTTTGTGTGCCGGAGGGATCAGTTGGATTCTTTGGTGGGTTAATCTCTAATTACACAGCACATTGTCATCACATAAAAGAGGGATCAGTGAAACTCAGGCATGGCTGTACATCTCTGAAAACTGTTGCTGCACACTTTTTTTACATTATAAACTGTAAGTATCCACGCTCTTGAATCCAAATAGCTTTTAAGCAAGCTGGTGAATGTATTGATTATTGGATATTTACAATGTATTATTTGTTAAGTCAAACTACAGTATTTACTCTTATCAGCAGCTTACTGCATTTTTGTCTTGTCATTTTAACATTGTGATGTATTTCGGCTCATGTTGATGTCACACCTCTGTGGTTCTATCCATCGTCTTTAAATTGTCAAACTCATGAAACGTTAGATTACATGATTATAAAACATAAAAGGCTGTTTTCTCTTTTTTCCAGACCCCTCTACCTGAACAGGATGGTTCCTCTACAGCGCTGTTGGCTGGTTTTGAGTTAATGAGCTCTAAGGATGTAGCTTACCACATGACTTCCTATGATTGGGAGCTTTTTCACTGTGTCCACGAGGTATGACCAGATGCCATCGGCAGAACTGATTGATTAATAGAACACGTGTTGTAATATTATAGAATTAATTAAAGTTAATAAATGATAATGTTTTCTTTGATGTCTTACAGCTTGAACTCATCTACCACACGTTTGGGAGGCAAAACGTCAAGAAGACCACGGTGAACCTGGACCTGTTCCTGAGGAGGTTTAATGAGATTCAGTTTTGGGTGATCACAGAGGTGTGTCTGTGTTCTCAGCTCAGCAAGAGGGTGCAGCTTCTCAAGAAGTTCATCAAGATTGCTGCCCAGTAAGTGGACCTTGTTTCAGTGTCTTAATACATCCCTTTGACCCAGCTTGTAATTAATTTTTTCACTACTTTAACATACATTTTAATTTTTCCTTTCAAAGCTGCAAGGAATACAGAAACCTGAACGCCTTCTTTGCTATCATTATGGGACTGAGTAACCCAGCAGTGTGCAGATTGAGTCAGACCTGGGAGGTGGGTACCTGTCCGTGTCAAAATTATTCTTAACCAAACTGCAATCTAACCTTTTAATATAATCTTTCCACAGAAACTCCCAAGCAAATTCAAGAAGTTTTACGGAGAATTTGAAAACTTTATGGTAATTTGAAACGACTCACTTACTTTCTTTGAGCTGTAGTGTTTTTGTCATAAATCACCCCATCTTGCAATGTCAGCTGGTCAAGTGCGGGTCTCGCCTCTTCATGCTCGGCCTGATCGTGATGGATCTGTTTAACACGGCGACGGCAGATCTCAGAACTGTGTGATTGTTTCCACAGGACCCGTCCAGGAACCACCGGGCGTACCGACTGACAGTTTCCAAACTGGAGCCTCCCATCATTCCCTTCATGCCGCTGCTGATCAAAGGTCAGAGTTGTTTATTAGATGACCCGTTTATTTTTAAGTCAACATAATTTGAACCTTTGCCACCTTTGTTGTTGAAATGCTTTTTCACCAGCTTTAACCGTCTCAACAATTGGTCTTTTCCAGACATGACATTTACTCATGAGGGCAACAAGACATTTATCGACAGTTTGGTCAATTTTGAGAAAATGGTGAGGCTCTGAAGGTGCACATTATTGTCTCACAGTTGCTGTAAATGTCTATTTTTTTAGCCATTCACTTAACTGCTGATATCTGTTGCTGATTATAGCTCTTTGTCTTTCAGCGGATGATCGCTAACACGGTGAAGATAGTGAGATACTGCCGGAGCCAACCGTTCAGTGAGTGTGCATCCAATAGTTTTATTTTGTAGCGAGAACAAATGGGAATACCAAAAGGTTTGATGATGCATTTAAATGAGACTGTCGTTTTTTTCTGATGATTCTTTTCATTTTTACTCATTCTTTCAATTAATTAAGGCCCAGATTCACCTCTGGCCAGCAAGAGCCACCCAGAAGTTCGCACTTACGTACGTCAGCTCAACGTGATCGACAACCAAAGGACGCTAACTCAGCTCTCTCATGGACTTGAGCCTCGCAGGTCTTGAAACCACTCAGGGACAGTAATGTTACACTCTGATGCTGCTTTACTCATGACATGCGCTTACATTGGGATGGATTCACTCTAAAACAGGCAATTGCATGAAGAGGACCTAATGACGTATCAGATAATGAGATATTGTTTCAGAAAGCCTTTTATCACAGTGAGCTTTAACAACGGTAATTGTTGGTGGCCTCATATCACTGTGCTGCACCATCTTATCTAAGTCAAACAACAGCAACAATTGAAGGAATTACCAGGCATGGGGAGGGGTGCCATTCATCAGATTAACATTTCAGACGTAAACACTATGTGACGCTTATGCTTTAAAAATGCAAAGTCTTGATATTCCTGATATTCAGTTGTTTCGTATCTTTTGTATCAAACAATATTTATATAAGTTTGTGAGAATCTGTGTTGTAAACTGTAAACAAATATTTATTTTGACATCAGCATGCAAAAAGTTGTGATGATTGTTTGCTTTTTTATTCATGTCAGCACATTTCTCTTTGGAGTTACAGTAAATGTCTGAAAACCTTTTGAGTGCTGAAAGTATTAAATATTTTAGATGTACTTGTGCGTTGTACAATCTTTCATTGTGTTGTTTTGACGATTCATAAGTTCATCATTCCGTATACCATAAGAGTTTCTAAACCTCTCAGACTTGTTTAGTTAGTGCCATTCAGGTTTTACCAATACATTATCGCCTGAGGATTGAGGAGGAGAGGATGTACAATATTTGGAGCAATAGAATAAGAGAAACCACCAATCAGAAGTCAGTATTTGTCCTTTCCTGAATTTTGCTCTTTTTCAATTAACCTTACACATTTTTTACGTTATGTTGTCAAATAAATTAAGTGAGTAAGTGGAAGGAATATAAAATGTTCCTCTAACATGAAGTTGAGTAGTATAAATTACAGTAGTATTAAATGGAAATGCCAAATTAAAGTACAAGTGGGCCTGGGAATTTGTATCTAGTCTGCAAATTGCCAGAACGTTTTTTTTAATATAACATGTCAGCATGAAAAGCAACATTACATTTGGCTGTCAAATTCATGTAAAAGAGGAAAAAAGTAGAATATCAACTTATGCAATATAATAATAGAGTATAATAAATTCATCTTTACTAATTTAAAGAACAAGTACAAATTGTAGATAGATGTATAGATAGATAGGTACTTTATTGATCCCAAATTGGGAAATTATTTAGTTGCAGCAGTAAAATGTACAGGCATTACAATCTTTAAAGGTGTAAGAAAGTATAAACATAATAAAATGAACTAAAATAACAATTAAAAACAATAAACAGCTGTTAATATCTACAGTATAAAGGACATGAACCACAAGAATACTCAAGTTACCTGAGTTAAGTAATGTGTAACAGTTTAATTTAATGAGTTACTCTGCACGACTGAGAAGGCTTTATATAAATAAACCAAATCTGGGAAGTACATCTCGTGTGCTTACAATGCCTTAAGGTACACCGTTTAAAAGAGGACAACAAAACCAAATGCCATGGAGGAGATAACATTTGACAAGAATAAAATATATGCACGCAGTCCCAGAGCATTCAAAGGACCTATAAAGCATTTAACCCTTATGTTGTGTTTGGGTCTCCCGTGACCCGTTTCAAGTTAAAATGATATAATAACTACGCTCTAGTTTTTTTTATCGGAAGGCTTCATGATATCTTCCACAGCAGCTATATAAACACCACAACACTGATTTTGACAATTTTAGCCAAGTCTGAAGGTCTCTAAAAAAAAGTGTATAATTGCATTTGGTGTTCGGGTCTGGGAAGACCCAGCAGCATTGTTGTGGGTGACTCGGGGTCAAATTTGGCCCAATCAAGATTCATCTTTGACTTTAGACACCCCAGCCCCACCCCCTTCATCCACTGTAACAATAATTTGTTCACAACATGCACCTTGTCTCCCCTGCCTCTGCCCATCCCCCTCCCCCCACGGGAACTCGACCTTTCACAAAGAATATGTACACTAACACTTGAACACACACATGCACGTGTGCAATATGTGGAGTTATGTGTTTTGGGGCCATAAAATAAAATTACAACAGGATTGTACGGTTATGAATGCATTATAAGTTAGTTATGATGTAGTTAAAACAATATTGGATGATAATCATTATTTTTGAGTGTTTTGGACTGTCAAAATTGACACGCGAACACAATGAACGGTAACAGCTTTCGAACACAACGCAAAGGTTAAAGGGGAACTCCAATGGGTCCGCGGTCCACAGATGGAGCACCACCGTCCCGGGACAGTGCAGAATAACAACAACATGGTGTGAGCTCGGAGTCCTCTCACTTTGTTCCGGCGGGTGGAGCTGTTGTCCTCAGGATCTGGACTGTAAAACATGTATTTTCCAGTCTGTGTTGCCTGCAGCTGGTAGAAGTTGTGCAACAAACACCGCGCAGTGAGAGGAGGCTTCAGAAAAACGTCACGAGATTTCCCGGAACTCCTAACTTTTCACTTTCCTACTGATTGTTTGTAAAGTGCACCGACGACGAGCTGCACTGAAGACGCTTCACACTTAATGTCGGTATGTATGTTTACACTGAGTGAAGTTATACAGTATTAACATGGTAGTTTAGGGCATGTGAGAAGGGACAGTGAGTCATAGTAGACTAGTTCATAATGTACTGTAAGCCTACACGTGCATGTTGTGCAGTTTTACTTTTAGGCTGTTGAGTGTTAGTCATCATACATCTGTGTTTACTCAAGGCTCCTAAAAGTACTCATACTAATAATAATACTAGTGACAGCTACTGCACGCATTTTCACTTCTCCTTATTATTGACTCTTTCTGTTAGCAATTTTGTGAAATGTTTGCTGTAGGCTACCTTTTTGCCTTTATAAAAAAAGTGTCATGCAGGATTTCGCAATAATCTAAAAGCATGATCAATCTCACTATGCACTGTATAATTGATTATTATTTAAGATAGTCATATGTGGATGCATCTGTGATTAAATATCACCCCGTTGCTGATTTTGTAGGTGAAACAGGAGTTGACAGGTACTATCTGCCAGCTTTGTGTGATTTATTTTTAATTTAGTTTTGATTACAGTGACTTCCTGTGGTTTGACATATGGCTATCAGGCCTTTATTGTTGCAGTGTTTGCTATTAAGTGAGAACTGGCAGGAAGGAGCACAGGAGTGCTACCATATCCCAGTAACCCTGGCTTCTGGAGTGTACGGACAATACCGTGGGCCGGTCCACTGAGCAGATTGCTGTGAGGCTAAGTATAGCATGCATACAAGTAAATGAGCAGAGAGCAATGGCCCCCCTTTGTGACAATGGAGGCATTTCCCGCTGGGCTGGATTGCAATCCCAATGAAGACCCAGGTAACAGCCCTAATTGCTCTGCTTGAAATAGGAAACCCATGAACAATACAAGAGCTACAATTTCCTGTAATGATGGAGTTATGTCTCTTACAATATGCTTTTATGCTCTTACGGCCGGACAAAAGGATATGATAATCAATCTGTGTGGACTCCAGTTTGGAAGCATTATGTTTCTAACCCCGGTTTATATAAATACCGCGTGTATGGCCTTAGAGAACATGAGGTTTACTCTGTTTTTGTCTTGAAACAGTCAGAGATTGTCCATTTGTTTTGATCCCTTTGCTTGTGGCCTTATTTGTACCAAACACAGTAGATCGTGCTGGAATAGTGTGTGACTTTGGTCTGCATGATCACAGCATACCAGGCATGCCATCAGCCTTATACAAGCAGTGCCTGGACCCTGAGCTCATTGCTTACTGGTACTGATGATGAAGAGTGTGTGTGGAGCAGAGAAAGGAGAGGGTCAGTCTCATCTCACCTGCAGTCACTCTCTCTAATGGGTTGTTCCAGAGTGAAGCCACTCTTTGAAGCGTCTTGCACAGCAGGAGACAGGAGTGAGTTTGTTTTACCATTCAGTGAACCAGACTTCCTTCCTTCCTCAGAAGCAGAGTTGGTGCTCAGTGTCATTATGAGATGTTGTCTCCAAGCGCCTCCTTTGTGCAAATCAAGTTCGATGACATCCTCTTCTACGAGAACTGTGGCGGCGGCAGCTTCGGGAGTGTGTACCGATCCAGGTGGATCTCCCAGGACAAAGAGGTGGCGGTGAAGAAACTGCTCAAGATTGAAAACGAGGTAGGAGTCATAATTGCCTGGGCTTTTCATACATACACTTTTTAATTGTCAGTGTAGTAATCATTTTAATTGCTACCCCATTTAGAGGGATGTGGTGACTTCTATACCCATCACTCATGGTCATTATACACCCCCTCTCCACGAAAGAAACAGTATTGCCAAATGAAAGAAAGTGTTTGGCCCAATTACAGCAGGGACTGTTCTTGAGAACACTTTGAAAGCTCAGGCTCATTGTCTTACAGACAAAAAAAAGAATTATCTTTGAAATCTTTTCACGGAAATTGTATTACATGTGTGATAGGCTGTTCAGAAAGTGATTCATGGTTTCTTTTATGAAATTGTAAAAGATCACAGATATCCATTCAACTTCACTCAAGTGCTGGAGAGATGATTGTTCAGTGAAAATAATAGTGTCATCTTTTCACATTCAACCAATTCTTTCATTTAATTACAGTGTTTGGCTACAAAGAAATGAATTGGTTTTGTCAGGTTTCTCTTCCTTCTAGGAATAGTTTTACAATGATCTTTCCGGGCCAGTATGTTGTATTAAAACATATTTATATACACTTTTATATTCACGTGATAGTGGCACGGCTCTATGGATGGCTTGTCTGTCTGTCGGTTCACTGGTCTAATTAAGTAAAATATGTCATGCATGTCCATCATACACATGTACAGACATTAATAGAAAGTGGGTGAATACATTACTTTCTCTACAGCACTATCATGAGGTTAACATTTGTGTTTCATAGTGCTGCGTACCTGGACTCACATTCAGGTTCAGGTCCGGACTCAAGTCCAGAGGTTCAGGTTCAGGTCCGGACTTATAAGTCCGGACCTGAACCCATGGCTTGTGTCATGTTGTGTGAGTAACTAAAGTGAACTTATTGTGAGCTAATTATCAATTGAAAATTAACTCATAATCAACTCAAATTCAAACTCATCAGGTTTATTGTGCTCCCTTCCAACTTGTGTCTACATTTCTCTACAAAGTACAAATGTTAAAAAAACACTTTTTGCCACTTAGTCTACAAATGACTTATGACAGCAACTACAGTGAACTACTACAAAGTTCAAACGTTTATTTCATTTACCAAACTAAAGTAACCAAACAGTCCCTGAGCTGACTGAGCCTAAATCCCTAAAACGTTGCTGAAAGGTAGAGTGTAGAGTAGACTATACGCATTACACTGTTTACACACCTACTATACAGTATAGGCTACACTGTAGTGACTGTACAGTCAGTGTACTGTACTGTCTGTACACCATGTATTTTCTACAACTCTACATGTGTACATTATACAGTACATATTACTACATACATAGTGATGTACATACATACTGTTAGAAATTAAAATCAATGTTGATATGGCGTAATTTTGAATTAAATACACTATTTAATTTAAATCAGTTTTATTCTGAAAAAAACGGAAGTTCACACCATTAACTTAATACTTTTATTCTGAAAATTATTCACTTCCGGTTAGCATTAGCATGTGGCGAAATGCTACGTTTTCAAACCGTGAATCGAAGGTGAAATGACATGTGATGTTGTACACTGAGCACACTGGGATTAGCACTCATTTATTGACGTTGAATAACATTTATCAGGGAATGTTTAAATAACCACAGGCACCAGAATATACGTAAGTGCTAGTTTTTTTGCGAGTCCAAGTACCGGTTCCCGACGTTCCGGTTTTAACCGGACTTGAACCGAAACTTTTTACAAGTCCAGTACCGGTTCGGCGTACGGGTACGCAGCACTACACCTATTGTATAGACTTCTATGTCATTTGCTGCAGATATTCACAGTTCCCAGAGCATGAACCTTGAAGTGACGCATCCTCTAGCATCAGTATGAACATTAATGTAGGTTTATCAAAAACGTTTGGATTGATTGTCAGTGAAATGTGATACAAACCATGTCCTGTTTATTAAGCCAATCCATCCAATCCAGCGCACATTCCATTTCCAAATGTCACTTTATCCATTAAGTTTTACTAAATACATGTAAACTGATAACTATCACAACAGACTCAAGTCTAGTTACAAAATGCTAACAGCCTAAGCTTGTATTGGAAACATGGTAAAATGACACCTCATTACCATCAGCATGTTAGCATGGTAATGATAACCCTGTTAGCATGCTAACATTAGCATTTAGCTGAAAGCACCACTGGCCAGTAGCACAATGTTACTGTAGACTCTAGTTTTTTAGACACTGACATAATAATGTTTAAACATTTGTTTTGCTACCTCCATAATCATGAACCAGTTTCAGTGATGTTTCCCACTTGTGTCTTTATTGTTTAGGCGGAAATCCTCAGTGTGCTCAGCCACCGTAACATCATCCAGTTTTATGGTGCAATTGTTGAGGCTCCAAACTATGGAATCGTCACTGGTAAGATTTGTTTAAACTCATAAACTTTTATATTTACTTTGGCATAAATACAGGTTGTCTCAATAAATGTACAATGGAGATACATCATGATGGAAAACACAGCGACTGAATCTGTTTGCATCAGTTGCAGTTTGCTCACTGCTGAATGCTGCAGAGGTTTCTATGGAAGCATTAGTGAATGCCAGAGAGTTCAGGAAGTGTACACATTGATACATTAGTTGTGGGCCCCTGTTTGTTTTGTTTGTTTAGGTTAGAGGCTGAGAAAGCTCATGTAGCAAGGGGCCCTCAATGCCTCTGCACAAACTTTCTTTATACTATGGACATGTCATTTACATGTTATTGTATTTAAACTCTTTCTTCTGCTGTTCCATGTGTTTTGTACTGTAAAATCATCAATTTAGATTTTTCTCTTGTATTGATACACCTCCACATTTGAATCTCAGACCACCAATTTTGTTGCTTATATTTTTGTCTTGTGCAGAGTTTCCTAATTTGCCTTTTTTGCAGTTTTGCCTATAAGTGTTGATATGATGTTTGCTTTACTGATGATGACCCAAATTAAAGATAATTGACCTCACAGTCTGCATATAGTATATGTAATAAGGTTTGCAACCACCAATTACTTTTTTGATGATTATAATTAATCTGTCAATAACTTTACAGAGGCGTATGCCTTTTTTAAGGTCCTCCCCTCTCTCTCTCTCTCTCCTTATTTACTGCCTGCCTCTTCACTGTCAACTGTCACAGGGGATATTGGCTTAAAAAACATATAATACATTACTGGCTAAATGTCTATCACAATGTCCAGAACCTAAGTTATCAAATTTCTAGTTTGTTCATCCAAAAGCAGAAAGATTTATTTCACAATTATTTGAATCAGCGAATGCCAACGTCTCAGAACCGCAAACCATTTTATGTTTTCTGTCAATTAATCAATTATTTCAGCACTATATGTGATTGAGATTTAATTTGATGTTGCACACATTAAGAGAGTTCCTTCTCTTTGAAAAAAAAAACTCCTCTTAGGTCAGAGCAGCAGTGTATTATAGATAGCTAAGCCTACACGTATGGAAGCTTGTTTTATCGGCTCATAACATGTTCACTGACTCTACATCAAAGGCTGAACTTCTGAGCCTCTTGTGGAAGAACAAAATACCACTCCTGTTTGAGAGTGCCATAATTCGAGGGGTGTGACATTCAGGGATTGTTTGGAAACCTTGTTAATCCCCACAGGTCATATCATTTTATTGTCTTGTCCACAAATATTCTTCTACTTCCAGGAAAAGTTGAACACACTGTTAGTGAAAGTCTTTGTAGCCCTCACTCACATCCTGAGCAGAGAGTATCGCCTCCTTTCATCATGTGGACAATAAACACATCCCACAGTGAAGCTTAAACTCATAAAATATGTTCTTGTTCTGCTCGTCAAAGAAACCGATAAATAAGAGAGCATAACAAACAGGGTAGGGCAGCTCAATTAATCGTATTTTAATCGTGATTACGATTATGGCTTGCAACGATTACGAAAACAACGTAATTGAAATAAAACAATTATTTTTAATCTTTTATTATTATTATGACTTTTTTATTTTTTTATAATTTTGTTGTGTTTTGTTTTTCAGTTGAATTATACTTAAAGTTCAGGGTAATCAAGTGTTAAACACATACTGTTAAAAAAATGTTCTCCAATAAATGGATGTTTTCAAAGTCAATGAATAATCGCATTTAACCCTTCTCTTGCGTTTCGGGTCAAAAGTGACCGAATGACTTTTATTTTAATCATAAATATTATGTTTTTCATCCAATTGCCTCAATACCTTATGTTATCCTCCACACTAGGCCTCTGAACATATACACTTGATGATCACCACTTGCATTGAATTTTGAGTGATTTATTCAACAGTGAAACACCCTTGACGTTTTCGGTCAGATTTGACCGCCATAGAAAATGAATGGGTTTGAGTATATTATGTTCATCCAGCAGATGGAAAACATCTATATACACACACACACACACACACCTTACGAGAACATCTCCCTTTCTCGCGCTGTATGATACAATGTATCATACCTTCTCACAGGTGCGAGCTCTGTGCTCCTCGAGAAACACAAACCTCTCACTTTCTCGCACTAAATGCGCCTCCCTTACTGGCTCTCAAGCAGTTATATTTGTGCCTTGCTCACATTTGAGCAGGCGACCGATTAGGCGATTTTCTCTACGAGGGGCTCTGGACACATTTTTGAACCAGATGAAGAGGAGATTGAACCAGATGAAGAGGAGATAGAGGAAGATGTCTCAGAAATGGAAGACAACAGTGATCCAGATTATGAGCCTACACAACAGACCAGGAAGAGGCCCCTGAGGGAGAGGCCCCTGAGGGAGAGGCCCCTGAGGGAGAGGCCCCTGAGGGAGAGGCCCCTGAGGGAGAGGCCCCTGAGGTGACATTCCACAATTTTGCATTGCCTACTATGTGCATGAACACACGTGAACACACACACACACACACACACACACACACACACACACACACACACACACACACACATGTTCTGTTATGGTATATTTCTCTTTCAATAAATGTTCATAGAGGAAAACAGTATCAGTGTCTTGTTTTATATTCATCACAGTGAATGCTGAACTTGATGGGCCGACCGGTGGGTCCGGACCATGACATGAAACACTGGCTTGCTTGTGTCAAATCAATACATCCCATACATCATTGGAACGGGAAGAATCTCAGCTACAACACTAACTAAATCATTTCTATCTCCAGTAAACACAGCCTACATGGCAAGCATTTTTATAATATACAGTAATGTAAAATAAGCACTATCTTTGAACTTACTGCGAAAAATAATATGAAATTCACCCTTGGTGTCATTCTGTCTGTCATCCCTTGATTCTACTTGCTTTGACTGTTCAAATGAGATGTCAACCATCAAAATGGGATAAGGGGTTCCAGAGATATCACTGTGCAAAACACACCGGTCAATTTTGGCCGAAAATAGCATGGGAAGGGGGGTATGGCCTAACGCAAGAGAATGGTCGCAATTACAATTATTGACCCAAATAATCGAGATTATGATTTTTGCCATAATCGAGCAGCCCTAAAACAGGGGCATTTTTACATTACAGAATTACAGAATCTTATACTAAATTCATTCAAACTCTGTAAGAACAAACATTTGTATTAATACGGTACAAATTACACAAACTCTCTTTTCTTTAAACATGGCTTCATCTGTTTGATTTGAGCTATTTGGAAGGGTAAACTGTGAATATAAAATTGTTTTTATAAATCCTTCTTGTGATGCTGATCAGCTCAAAATGCTTTGGCTCCTGCTTGGCCCATGCTAAACCATATTTCCCAAGTTTTTTTTCAAGTTAGGCCATTAGTTCTTCCATTACTTACATAAGGATATACATTTTCCCCACAACACACACACTGAAATGTTTTCCTGTGTGACACATCATGTTGGCATGACTAAAATCACAACAAGTAATTTCCTTAACCTCCTTCCTTAACCTGGAATTTGTTTCCCACCACCACCATGCATACAGTCATATCCTTATTGAGTGGTAGAAGACTGAAATGCTGCATTACTGAATTATGAAACCTCACCTTGTGAAATAGGACAGTGTAGCAACGTTTTGCAACTGCTTTCTCTCAAGAGTTTCCCATCTGAGGTTTACACGCTCTATTTCTTGTATCTGAATATCCTCTTTATCTGCTTTAACTTTTAGGCATAAGCCAGGTAACTTACCTGCTGTCTCTTCAGATATGTACAGAGTGTTTGATGCATTTTCCTTTGCTTTGTTACACAACCAAACCGATTTTTCGAGAGCAGAAGATAAAATCTCCTAGTGTATGAACTTGTAATTAAATGTCAGGCAAAACGTACCTTGTATGTAATAGCTGTTTTTCTAAGAAAAGAGTATAAAAAACTGAAATTATTATCAGTTAAATGAAAGTTGTGATAACTACAATTGAAAACCTCAGTAGCCGCTGTAGTATTTTGCAGCTGTGAAAGAGAAAGGTCTGTTGGTTGGTGTCTCTATTTATCAAAGCAGAATTTAATTATCAGCTAGATACAGGAACAAATGTTTATGGCTATCCTGACCATGCCGTGTCAACATTCATCAGCTCCGTTATAAGGGTCCTCTATCTGTTGATAACAGCATCAGGCCGGGCAGCTTCCTCTTTACAACATATCTGAGAAACCTTTCTGACTCTTAACCTGCATAAGTACAAATATATTTGCTGTCACTAAGCAGCCTCATAAACAGAATGAATTAAGCTTAGCTATTGTTTTGGGGTAAAGGGACATTAGATATACGGCAAGGCTGTTGTTTGTTCCATACGATTTGATTAAAAGCCCCTATGGCATAATTCTCTAATTCTCTTCGAAGAGTTAGAGTATAAACAAGGTGCGGTTTACAACAGAGCCACAGGTATTTATGTTATTTGTGAAATGTGGATGATTGTGTTTAAGTGCCAAATGCAGAAGCAAACAAGTCTTCACAGAGGTGAAGTACGGTGAGCTAGTTTGCATTTCAGCCAGCTTTTGATACAATGCAAATTAAAAAAGGCTCAGTCCTGACCAATAATAATAAAAACATTGGTGTATTTTATGATTGTTAATTGTAATTCTGTCTTGGCGCCTGTGCATGTTTACACTCCATGTTTGTATATGATTGGGTTATTCTGCACAAACAGGGATTTCCTGTTGGTTTGGCTGGTATGATAGTGGTTGTTTATCTTTATTCAGGTACTTTGCCTCATATAATCTCTCTGATAGATTAGAAAAAAAATGATTTGCTTGTTCCACTTATTTTTCCTTATAATCAAAGCTTAATCTCTACATTTTAGACAGTTTTCGTAGGGGAATTGTGCAAACATTGTTGTCGAGAACACTAAAAAAGTGCACCTTTTGCTCTGCATTAGAAACAAATCTAAGAAGAAAGACTATTGATTTGTGTTTGAGTTGATAACATTTGGGCTCCTTAGGTAGCAGAGCGGCTCATAGTGTTCAGTTTCAGCAGTGATAAATTGATCTAATCCACAGTGACAGTCAGTGATATGAGCAATCTGTAAACAAGACACTGTCAGCTGGCATCCAGGAGTCGTTTGGCTGAATTTCAAATTGCAATTGTTTTCTCATAAGGCTCCCACATTCTGCACTCATTTGTACAATGTCACACCTCAAGAGAACAGTAAAGTACCTGTAAGATATTTCACCGTCACAAACTGTCACTTAAACATGTTCACGTTTCTCCACAGAGTATGCGAGTGGTGGGTCGCTGTACGATTACCTGTCCAGCGCTGAGAGTGAGCACATGGACATGGGGCAGATCATGACATGGGCTGCAGAGATTGCCAGAGGTACTGTAAATGTGACACAATTTATTGATTATATTAGGAAATAATAGCTTAAAAATGTACCAAGAACTATGTTTTTGTGTTCAGAAATTATTTGAAGACCTTTCTTTTTGCATGATTTGTACTAAAAGAGGGCAGTTTATCTATGAAATCTATGACTTTAAGTTTCTGTTGATCGTCCTCTTAAAATGTTCTCTTTATTTTCTTATTTTAGGAATACACTATTTACATTCAGAGGCCCCCGTAAAGGTGATCCACAGAGACCTGAAGTCCAGGAATGGTAATGGGCTTTTTGTGTGTCCAAAACATATTCATTTGTATAAACATGAATGCTATATTTTGTTTAAATTGAATACATACTTTATTGACTGACTTTTAAAACCTATTTTCTCTTTCAGTGGTTGTGGCAGGAGACATGGTTCTAAAAGTAAGATTTCATATTAGCGTATACACTGGAAAGCTAATGTTAGATACATTTTGCTGCACAATAAGCTAGCCCGAATTAAGTGTTTTTCAGCTGAATATTTCACATTTGAATTCAGAGTTTTTTTAAAGAATATGAGCATGAAATAGTGGTCTGTTTTGTGCCTACAGCGTGTGGACACAAGAGGGCAGTAACTAACCTAGCATGTCCCAGAAACCACTGACATCATTCAATTATGTGTTTTACCATAGGGGCTAAATAAACTCATCAAAAAATATAATTAGATTTTGAAACAGCTTCTGTGTGTATATGATGTACCATAGGGCCATATTCTGAACTCAAACACTAGCATAGTGTGCCAAAAGACAGAGACAGAAATATCAATTGAGTCCAGGCCCAAATGAAGTGATTACAGTACAGTACGTCCAGCATTTGTAGTATTTGCAATCACCATCATCACCACCAGATGCACACTTGCAGATTATTACAGCCTAGCGCCTATGAGTGCATAATAATAACACTGTTCTATGGATAAACTATAATAAACATTTTGATTTAATTGCGATGCTGCAATCTCAATTCTGTTTTCGTCTCTTCAGATCTGTGATTTCGGGGCATCCAAGTTCCTGACCCACACAACACACATGTCCTTAGTGGGCACGTTCCCCTGGATGGCTCCGGAGGTGATCCAGAGTCTGCCTGTGTCCGAGACCTGTGACACCTTCTCTTACGGTGTGGTGAGTGACAAGAGGGGAAAGCAGTTTTCTCTTAACTATGATACAACTTTTTCATTCTAGAGAGCAATTTTTTGCACATTGTTACCAGCCAGCAACAATTTGACTGATGTAAAGTGTTAAGGGCAGCTTTCTAAGTTCTCATGTTAAGAGTAGGTTCTGTGATAAAATATTCCTATGTGTTACGAGTTTAAAATCGAGTTTCAGAGGTTGTATCTATTTAGGCAAACCCAGTTGAAGTTTGTTATTCAACAAGCAGTTTTAATGTAGTACTAGCTCCGTTAGTTAATAAAAAACACCTTTAACTTCTTTATTCAGTTCCTGAGATGAACATTTGATGAAGAATATTTCGACTAAGATAAGTTTTAACAGTTCTTAAGGTTATTTCTTTTTGGTGCATACTGGTTGATTTCTACCACTCCCTTTTAAGTGATCCAACAAATAGTGTCTTTAAATTCAGATACAAATGTGCTCATAATAGCAAATCACAGAATGAAAAATGTACAAACAAGTGAGTTAATTCATAAAATATCAATCATTTCGTTTTTATTTGTATTTCGGGACAGCAGTTGAAATGATTAAACATACCTCCGGTCAAAAGCATATTTACTTTTTCTGCCGCTCTCTTTCTTTCAAGATGTAGTAACTTTGTACATTTTTGTAGAGCTTTTTGAGATTCTAAAAGAAAAATATACAGAGAATGATTTGTATTTCTTTCTTCAACGCAAACATAGAAATTGCCCGTCACTCATGCCAAATCACCCATGCCTTAAAAACAGCTGTCAGTCCACCAGCTCCACTTATATTTTCATTTCTGCATTGCTTCTGTTGATAACAGAAGTTATTTTGACCTTTGCATTGCTTTGCCTTAGAAACTTGCAGTGCCTTTGTGCTTCTTGAAACTCTTATAAAGTGGCTGTCTAAAGACTTATGAAAGAAATGTCATGGCAAAGAGTTAAACTTGAAGGTGGGGTATGTAATTTAGATTTTTTCCGGTTGTGTATTTTCAAATTCTAGCGCACTCGAGCCGGTTTCTTCAAAATTACCTACCCCACCTTTAATGTGCTAAAGAACTGCCGTCCTTATTATACAAGAGTCAATTACTGATATCAATCTTAATGAATTAACAAAAACATTTAATGTCATATAAACAGTTGGTAGGATTTTACTTTTTTAAACAGTGTTTATCATGCGAGGTTTTGCAAAAAGATTTCAGATTTACAGCAATATGCCGTTTTTTCATGATCTTATTTCTATAGAATACATACATGTAATAGGAGGCAGCTGGCAAACGCAGGAATACGGAGCACATGTACAGTAGAGCCCCTGGGTGTTTGGAAAACGTCTCTCCTTCACCTTTTCATGATCTAATTCTTTAAAGATGTTGACGCAGGTTGTTATTTCTGACACTGCTGAATACCAACTGAGAAGCACCTGAATTATCAAGGGAGCCACAAATCATGGCAGCATTTAATCATTGTCAAAATATAAAATTGTTCTATTTGTCTATTTTGTATGTTGCATTTGGCCTCTAAGAAAAACAGAAAAGTGTTTTTCCTAATATTTGTTTACACATGCTGTAAAAACAAAAAAACACACCACCTATCTGCTCAGCCATATTTATCTATTTAGACTTTTTTCCTGTAAGAAAACCAACACAGTGGGGAAAACAGAAGAAAAGATGATGTTGTGTTTGTTGACAAAGCATACAAATACTGGTATGCGTATCATTTTACAAGTTCTCCTGATAGCTGACCTTGGCTCTTCACTTCTGTGGCAGGTGCTTTGGGAAATGCTCACCCGTGAAATACCTTTCAAAGGCCTGGAAGGATTACAAGTGGCCTGGCTCGTTGTGGAGAAGCATGAGGTATGTGTGTGATTACGGGTGTATATACCAAAAATAGTATTGTCTCTTGGAAGTTGAAAATCATTTTGGTCCAGACAAATAAACCTTGCTTCACAATGCATCAATATTTTTGGTTCATCAGTGGTTATGCTATGTTTATGGTATACACAGTAAAGAGAGGAATAGCTGCTGTTTACATCATTGTAGCTGAATTCAGACCATTCAGACCATTTGTCTGTGCATGGGGTCTAAAAGTGTGAAATATCTTGTAGGGGCAATTTTAAGAGCTAGTTGAGAAGATGGGTTGGATGGTTGATTTGTCTTTGCTTTGATTCTTAGCAAGAAGGTGAATAAGCAAATGTTCCAAAATGTCCACATATTCCTTAAAGTCAGCTCATCCTCATACTATGTGTGTTTCAGAGGCTAACCATCCCCAGTGGCTGTCCTTCCTGCTTTGCAGAGCTCATGAAGGACTGCTGGGCAACAGAGCCAAAAGTGAGTGATCCGCTGAGAAACATGGCAATTAACAACTCATGTATGTTTCCATCTGAATCATACTGAGCAAATGTTTGTGTGTTGATTCAGGAAAGGCCAATGTTCAAGCAGATCCTCTCTACTTTGGAGTCCATGTCTAATGACAGCCAACTTCCTCAACAGTGCAACTCTTTCCTTCACAACAAGGCTGAATGGAGGTAATGTGATCAGCCCAGTAAATGTATTTATAAATCTCCTTTTTCACCAATATACTGCCTCAGCCTAAGGAAATGTGCAACTCTAGTGAATGATGTGGAAATGTAGCTGATGGGGGCCGTGAAATACAAAAAAGGACTTGAGATTGTGCATATAGATCTTTAATAATTACACTGATAACTACATAAAGGCATGAAAACCTCCAAAGAATCATCCATCTGGATATACTTCCTCTCTTTACCCATAAGGCCCTAAAAATAATCACCATCTTTTTCAAGTAGAAGTGTTTAATTGGGTTGTATGAGCAGCTGGAGGTTTGGTGATGTTCAGCACAGCCTGAGTCTCAGCTGTTACTTTATTCTCTGTCTGCCTCTCTGCGGGGCTTGTCTGTGCTCCGAGGTTTTTCCTCAGAAGTTGTGCTGGCGGCAGCATGTCCAGGCAGCCATCTGCAGGTGGAGCAGGTTGGAGTGACTCTCACTGCTGGAAAACAGACACTGAGAATATGTGGCACAGAAAGAAGATGTTGTAGTTGCTCAAGAGGTTGGATACTATAAGCTTAGCGTGCAGAAAGTGGAAGGGGAGGCTTGTAGGGGATCAGAGCAGGAAGTAGCTTCACCAAAAGGGATGGAGAGATGATCTGTTGACCTTAGAGAGTTGCGATTTGTTGTACTTTTTTTCTATTTAGCTGATTTGCATTACACAGCAATATTGTATTTTAAATTAAACAATATCTGTCAGTTTAAAGTGCTTGGCTCAAATCCATATCGGTGCACAGTATAGGAATCAGTGGTGGAATGTAACTAAGTATATTTAGTCAAATAATGCACATAAGTATACTTCAAAGGTACTTCATTATAAGAATATAAATCAACTGATACATTATGATTAATTTTTGTGACTAAAGCTAAAAAGTACCACTTCGACCAGCTGCAATAATTAAGTGAGACATGTGTTAAATTCTTCCAACACTGATTGAAAAGCTATCATAGGGAATATGGCGTGTGGCGCAGTGGCTAGAGCCTTGGTGTTGAGATCAGGGGGTCACAGGTTCAAACCCCACTGCAGTCAGCATGTCGTTGTGTCCCTGAGACACTTCACCCCAAATTGCTCCTGTGGGGATTGTCCACAGTATTTAGTATGTAAGTCGCTTTGTAACAAGTAACATGTAATTTAATATGCACAGTATAATAACACTAAATGTCTACAGCTAGGCTAGCAGTACAACGATACTGTACTCATGCACTGCAGTGCTTTGAGCCTTGATCAATATGCTAACATGCTCACAGTGATACACATTGGAGGTTTAATGTTTACCATGTTCGAATTGGCTGATTAGCTCCAAACAAAAAGTAACGCTGAGGCTGCCGGGAATGTCTGTGCATTTGAAAATACACACTTACTGTTAAGCTGCTCTTATTGCAGACCTAAACACCTTCACAGTAACAGTGAGAATCACAATTTACCCTCACAGTCAGTGGTTTATGTCAGACTCAGAGTCCTGGCACTGACAGACTGCACTGTACACTGACAGATCAAGGTCAAGCACTAGCTCTGAGAGTGTGCTGTCAAAGCAGCTGATACAATTCAATGGTTGCTATGTCTAACAGATAGTAAATTAATTCCTGTATAGTGTGATCTAATGATTTGGATAAGAGATAAATGTTAGTCACATTATTTAATATCATCACAAACTGCCTCTTAGGAGCTGATTACAGAGCTGTAATTTCCCTGTTCAACTAGTAGGATTAGAAGGTTTTTAGAAAAGTTAATTCTTCAGTGTCCATGGGAAATGCCAACACTTTTGTGAGGAAAGTGGGCGGCAGGAGAACAAATGCTTTGGGAAGTTGAGCAAGAGTGGGAATTGTTTGAAGTGGGAAGCGTTTGGGTGGGGGGGCCGGAGGGCCGGGTGGAGTCAGGATGGGCTTTCCTGCCTGGGCTGCATGTGTTTATGAACAGAAAGTGTGAGAACTTAGCTTTTGTTGGGCTGAAGCTCAGCATGGCTTTCCACGACCCACTGTGCAGCCCCCCCTGCTGGGCCAAACAAACTCCCCCCCACATGAAGAAAACACGAGGCATTGCCCTGTCCCTCCATTCAAGGCTTCAGACAAAAACGAATAACCTTCTGAATGCAACGAATCAATGGTGTTGTTTTCAGTTTTAAATGTAGAGTTGGTTTATGCCACGGCTTAATTCTCTGTTTACTCCTCTTTTCTTTACACTGGGTTGTTTTGTGAGTAAGAATGGTGATCATTCAATATTTTCTTTTTGTAAACAAATCCAACGGCCTTAAACTTCTTAACTTCTTGAACAACACTGACTTACCAGTGATAAATGTATTACAAACAACTGCTGTGCAGCCAAACATTGTTCAAACCCACATTACTTCATTTTAAATTCTGGTGGGAGTCCTAAACTTTCCAAAGAAATCTTATATTTACATTTGAGGGAATGATGCAGCTATAAAGAATGTGAAGGCTTTGAATGTATCAATGATACAAATATGATTTATTGTTATTTGCACCACTGGATTGCTCCACGAAATGCAATTGCAGCCTATTCAACCTACACAAAAGACACAAATCAAAACACAACATAAACAGAAATACATTTCTGTAGTGAATTATTTTGGCAGATGATATTGATGGCATGAAAATCATCATATGGGAAACTCAACTTTGACTATGTATGAGCACTTCTATATACTATCATATTGTTTTTTGTATAGTAAACTCTTTCTTGTATAACTTATATAAAAACGTATGTTTCATAATTATATTGATGGAAAAAAGTAGTCTCTATTCTTCTCTATCCTGGTGTGTGCTTGAGCTCATATTTAGTGAATTGTTGACATTGTTCTGTTATTGAATACTGCAGGTTTGAGATTGAAGCTACACTTGAGAGACTGAAGAAGCTGGAGAGAGACCTGAGCACCAAAGAGCAGGAGCTGAAGGAGCGGGAGCGCCATCTGAAGATGTGGGAGCGCAAACTCATCGAACAGTCCAACAGCCCGGTGAGTTCCTCCTTATCTCCTCTTCACCTTCACCTTGTGGTCACAGCAGCACGTTCACACTGACGTTCACATCTGTGTTTCAATACCGTTGAAGAGTTCTCCTGATATTCCTCTGGGAGACTCAAAGAAATCAATAATATGAAAACAAAAAGTGTGGAATCACAAATGAATGGAAAAGCACATTATGATTACTGTTTGTTATTGGCAGTACTCCATGTAGATGGTGCATGGTACTCCATGTAGATGGTGCATGGTACTCCATGTAGATGGTGCATGGTACTCCATGTAGATGGTGCATGGTACTCCATGTAGATGGTGCATGGTACTCCATGTAGATGGTGCATGGTTGTCCATGAATTACATATGCATTATGAGTGGAGTGAATGCTGCATATCACCATAGATTTTATATTGAACTGTGAGAATTGTAGAACTGCAGTTCATAGCATTTCTGTTTGCCTTTGTTTCCTTGCATTGCAGCAGATGCACGCAAAAACCCCACAGCTTGTATTCTTGTTTACCTTGTTTGCACTTTGTGTATTTGTGAACACAACGTTGTTTTTTTGTCAAAATCACATCACTGAATGCCACAGTAGTGCACAGTGTAGATACTTTAAACATCTTTAAATCAAGAACACTGAAATCATTTCCTGTATTTCTTTCTTTTTCTAATCTCCCCTTTTTCGATTCCTTAATAACTTTCCTTCACTATCAAGTTGTCTTCTTGGGTTGGGTCTAAAATTGTCCACTTTTCTTGTTAAGTCTTACTTTTTGGTTTGAAACGGATTACTTACTTCCTTTTCATTTCTATTCTCTCTTCTGTTCTGTCACCCCTGTGTCCCTCCTCTGTCCACCTGTCTCTGGCTCTCAGCTCTTCTTACCTGTGGCAAAAAAGATAAGCGCTAAGTCGTTCTATGAGTCTAAGACGGAGGAATCAAACAGTGCACAGATGTCATGTCAGATCACATCCTCCGGTAACGAGGAGGTGAATCTGCACTCCATGATGAAAGGCTTTGAGGACATGTTTTCCTTGGACTTCGGCCGGCCTGTCCTGCACTCGGGCATGCAGGTCAACATGCAGGCCAGGCAGAACTCCTCCGTGTCGAGCAGTGTCAGAGAAGGACACAAAATCAACATGACTCTGGGGATGGGACGCTTCACTTGGTCTGACGACAGTGAATGAACCTCTCCAAACGTGTTGCCACAGCTGCATCTGTCCAAAACTGTAATCTCCCTTAATCCATTATTAGTGTTGTGGAAGCACTATTTGTAATGAATTGCTTGTTAAGTCATGATGAATTCCATCATTTCAATAAGCAACGCCAGGAAACATATCTTGGCTTGCTATTTCTTCTGCTTTGTTCACATTGTAGTCGTGGAAATCGCTTAATGTTGCACAGAAAGATATTATAGAATATATTTCTCACCCTCCTCCTATGGATATTATTGATGTAATTTACCATATGCCTAATGTGCCGGATGTGTAGTGCCATGCTGTGAAGAAAGAGCCACGTGAGCCAGTTGCTTAGAGAAGGCCAGGCTTTTATGATGAAGTGACATTTTGCTGACATTAAGATTGGCCAATTTGTTCTGGATGTGGTGGAGTGCAGTTGTTGAGACGCAGTCTCTTACCAGAATGAGAAAGCACATGTTTTTTCCAATGACTGACCCAGGTTCAAAACAGCAGGAGAGGGACGTTGCTGTGAGACTGTCAGTTTCTACCTTATTTTACTTTTCAAGACAGGCTTCTTTCTAGGCCTAAAAAATAAGGAAGCAATGTTTCAATGATGCACATTTCCCCTCTGTGGGACTAATAAAGGTATTCTGATTCTGATTCTGCATTAAATGTAAACATTTTAATAGAACAATTACGTTTTATTGATACAATTTACATACAGCATAACACTATTCGTTGTAACTGAATGTAAGCCTCAAGTCCTGACTTTACAGTAGAGTTAAATCAAATTAGCATTATTGTTCAGTAAGGTATTAGGCTTCATCTGGGGGAAGGACATGCTTCCTTGAGCATAGCCCATTAAATTGTCCCCTTTGCTTGTTATCATCAGTCAGTCTCATGAGGATGTAATCCTCTGTATTCCTGTGTTGTTGCTTGTTAGCTTCCTGCCATGAGCTAATATTCCTATTCAAACATTGTCTGTACTCTATCCACACTAGACCAGAAGACATAACAATTAACATAGACTCTTAGCAATATTAACATTTCCCCGTGAGAAATCCAGACACTTCACTAATATTTTGCCTCCACACTTTAAATCATATAATCAGCAGCTTTTTGATGTGACTTCGTTTCCTACATCCTTCACTGTTTGTCAATAAATCTGTTTCTTTAAACTCTCTGTCCATCTGTTTCATGAGGATGATGTTGCATTGTTATTATCAAACCTTTTATGTTAGATGACAGAACAGATCATGGCTGCTACGATTTGAAAAAGCTCTAAAGTATATTGCTTCATGACTCATTTATGTTGAGCTTTTTCTAGTCATATTAACTTCATACCACTTTTAACACCCTGTTTTCATGGTCTGGTTACCCATCATCCACTTAGTCCACGTGGGGGCAGAATTGTGTGAACCAAACCCAACTCAAAGTATTTGTCTTCCCCTGCAGATTGCACACACATATCGTCAACACAAAAACTGTGCTTTCCATTTTGAATTTGAGATAGTTCTTTGAGAATACAATATGCTGCTTGAAAAGTGATGTTAAGTCCCTCCAATGAGACTTTGGCAGCGGCAGAGTGTTTCTGAATCTGTTTACTTCCGAACCGCAGCACTAGAGGAGGCGGAAAATGCTGCAGGGCTGAGAGGCTTTATGAGGCGGCGGGCTGCACTGAAATGTATGGCAGCGACTGTCTATTGAGACCGGCATTCAGCTCGTAATCTGAGCTGTTATCAGATGTCGTGGGAAGAAGATAGTGAATGGGAGATTACTCATTCATTTAGTCGTCTTTCCTTCAATTTTCCATTGCATTATTTCTGTCATTACACACCAGTCTTATGATCACAATGATGAAATCTTTATTTTGGCTGGCAAGTTTCTGCCTGATTACATTTAATGAGCAATAAATGATTTATCATTCAAACAGATCACGTTAGATCAGTCAGATGGACATTTCGGTTTGATATAGACCATTAGAGGCAAATCTTCTTAATCGCACAGCACAATAACCGGGAAAGTAATGGCTTTGCAGACATGGTAAACATGCCTATTTTCCATTTCAATAACATTTACTTAAGTCGTGTGATTTTTACTTTAAAACTTGTCTGTCATGAATACACACGTTTCAAACTGCCTGTATCCATCCATATTCTGTTGCTGTTATTTCTATTTGTCTTTTGTTTTTATGCAGCTGCTGCCCACCCTTGACATATACACATGGACAGAGGAGCATGTGGTAAGTATCTTTGTATTTACCTCATAGCTGTATATTTTCAGTATGACTATTAAAACTAATATATATCCATTGTATTCCTTCAGTATTTCTGGATGCAGCAAATATTTGGCGCAGGTTTGTTTTTTTACTTTTTCTTTAATCCAACTTTCACATCTTCTCACTCTTTATTTGTTTGATCATTGGCTGTTTCCTTTTTCCACCTCAGGGGAGGATCCATGTGGCATGCAGCTGTATGCCGACCTGTTTAAAGAAAATCACATCACTGGAAAGATGCTGCTGTTGCTCACAGAAAACGACGTGCGGGACATGGGGGTCAAGTCCAAAGGTCATGTCATGCACCTTAAGGCAAGGCAGTTATCCACCAATAATGACTGTTATTTATTTAATCTAGGCTCATTGATATTTGGAAATAAAGTGATTCTCTCTTTTTTCTTTGGCAGGGAGAAATTGAAAAGCTAACAAATGATTACATGGGGTTGGTCCACTTCCCACCTCTTTTCAAGGTATATAAGCTTCGTCCTTATCTTAAGATGGAGTTTTCTGTGCAAGTCTTTATGCATCTCCCCCCTTTTTCCCAGGATGCACTGGAAAAGGAAGTGGAGAAGAGTAAAGCTGTAAATCTGGAGCTGGTGTTTGGATACCACTGGAAACCAGGAACAGGGAATTCTGTAAGTTTGTAGTGAATTACTCGCACTCACAAAATAAATACATCACCATATTCTGCAGATGAGAGCATCAGATGTCTGGATACTTGTCTGTTGATGTTGGACATGGACAGCTGCTGTGACGCAAGTCAAATTTCAGACTTGATCTGACAAATAAAGTATTATCGTATCGTATGTAGTTCATCTTTTGCTCTGTAAAGGACAAACAAACCATTTAGGGAAAATCACAATAAATGTTGTATCTACTTTGATTATTAATTATTATAATCTTCGATACGTTTAGTAATAATTGTTCATCTGTAAATGGATGTACAGATCATGTCTTTGCCATGATTGAAGCAGCTCCCTTGTACTGAAGCTGTTTGTTGTTGAGGATTCATGATGATGGCTGTTACACTGACCATTGAAGGCATCACTAGACATGCATAAAACCAGATGAATAAACATTTCACTCTCAGCCTTGTAGCACATCCACCTCGACTTGCTCGCAGCCCTTTGTTGGGGTCTCAAACTGTGGAGAAAGGGTGGCTCTTCACTTGCTGTTTGAATTTAATCAAAAATAGCCCATTTAGCCAGAAGTCATTTTCTTTTTAAAAGGCAAACGTTATTTAATCTTTCAGCTGTTCATTGTCCCATCATAAATAGTCCTCTTTCAGTGTGTTCGGCAGGGCTGAAACGAGCCTGCTAATTGCCTCCCATTTCTTCTGACATGTGGTGGTTAGTGGGTAGAAAAACACAGCAGGGAGAAGGAAACAGGAGGCTGAGAAAATGAGAGCTAATTATTTTCCCCTGCCTGGTGTCAGGTTCCGTGTCAGCCTTGTTTTTTACAAACTGGAAGGTTTTTTGCACTAAATAAAACAAACCCGCACTGCATTTTTTTTCCTCGCCCCTCTTTGCTGGCGATGTCATGGAAGCAGCTGCACTTCTCAAAGACAAAATGAGGGCCTGCGATTGTGCGGCCACCATCTGACAGCCACTGAGGGTCCCCTACTAATGAGGATATCACCGTGCAGCCAAGTGAAAGGTGCTGAATTATGTATGAGTTGTCATTAGACGCACTCGGGTCCTAGGCATCATTACCACACATTGTTTCTGCTGGAGTGATTAGACTAGCATGGACCTGGGAGCCCCGGTGCGAGCGTCCAGTGCCGACACCGGGCCAGCGCGGGGCCACTGGTGTGTTTCTGAGCCAGCGGCTTGCCGGAGCTTCGCCTTTGAGTCGTTTGCAGCCTCTGGGGACGATGCAGGAGAGGGCGAAGGCTCCTCAGACGAGTGTGTTAGTGCCACTCCTCTGATGTCTTTCTCTGTGATCACTACACAATGGATTGGCCTGTGCCATGAACCCTTCGTGGTTAAGCGCTGACCTGTGGCTTCGTGGCCGGCTTTTGGGGATTGCCAAATTCATTACTGCTTCGTCAGCATTCAGTATGCAGGAGAGGAGGCCTGGGGAATTGTTCAGATTTTAAGCCTCCTAGTGAGGATTTGATGTATGCCGCATGCAGCAAGTCATGAGAGAAAACCTTCCCCCTTATATCCTGAGAAATGAATTATGGGTCCCACCAGGAATAATAACATCAAGAGTTTGACAAGGAATTCACAATGTTTTCATCAAATATTATCTACTGTCATTTGTTAGTAGCAATAGCAATAATAATTTTATGAAATGTGAAAAATATTTTCTGCAATGTTGAGGCATAAGTGTACTGATTCTATTCTATTAAAATCAGTTCTCTAAATAAGATTTTTCCACAATGCTTTACATATTGTAACCAAGGTCATTTATCTTTTCTGGACCAGATGCAATTTATTTATAAAAAACTGAATTTAATCATTATGTATTCTTTAAATAAGGTGTTTCAGAATGCTTTAAATATTGCATACTAATTGTTTTTGATATCATTTCTTGATTTTTGTCCCCTTCAATTTATTTATAATATATTATAAATTCTCTCCTCCCCCCACAATATGAGGCTTTGTGGCTAGTAACCTGCCACTACCATTGAACTACCTCTAGGTTGTGCTCTTGGTTTATATACAAGAGTATCCAAGTTTTTCACACAGAACACTTCAATTGTAAACTTTTCCATACGATCAGGTGATGTCTCAGAGTGAGACCGGACATACGTTATATCACCACTTTTTTTTTCTTTCAAGGATTGCAAATGGAAAATGTACATGGAGCTTGATGGAGATGACGTTGCAGTGACCTACATCAAAGATGTCATCTTTAATGCCAACCGGAAGGATGTGGAAACCCTTCGGATGACTAAGGTGTCGTCAGAAACACACATGACTAATCGTGTTTTATTACATGCTGAATGGTGTCTATGTTTCTGGCTTAACTGGTTGCATTATATCTAAAGGGGTATTGTAGTTGCCATAAGCAGATTTTTTTTAACTAATGCCAATGTATTACAGCCACCTTTTGTGATGGACAAATGGATCATTGGAATACAGCAGAACCAGAAAGTGGATTACACAGTTAATTATGAGGTGAGTAAGAATGTGAGTCAATAGCCATTTAAAATATGAATTTGAAAATGCCTCATATGCGAGTGTGCACACTTTTACATTAAATATCCCTGTATTCTCGTTCTCTTTTGACGTCAGAATGATGTCATGTCACCAAAGTCGACCAGACACAGCTGTCCAGTGGTGTGGAGTCCCAGTGGTGGACAAGACGAGATCAAGACTGTGGAGCTGGTCATACAAACAACATCAGCTAACATCGACTTGACCCCTACGGATAAGTCTAACCCTGGTAATTGTTATATTTATAGCTCTAAAGACCTGGCAAGACAACTGATTTCACTGCTGGAAAAATAAACATTGTTGCTCTAGACTAGAGAACTACTTAAAATCAATGCTTTACTTTACTTTTTAGATATCGATCCCAGGTGGATGTATAATGTAAGGCAGAGGCAGTTGATGACAGAGAAAAACCTGAAAAAGACTTCTGGTCTGAATGTCTTCACTGGCTCTGAAGCCCGCACTCTGCCTCAGTTCCTGTCTGCACATGAAAGCCAGGGGTTTTCTTATGCTGCAGCTGTGCGACGCTCTCCAAACCGGGCCCGTGGATCTGCTTGGATTGACTCACGCAGCTCTTCGCCAACCACCAGCCTGTCAGCCAAACTCTCCTCGCTCCATCTGGGGTCAAAGGGCAGCAGCCCGTCCAGCACTACGTCAGAGAGCGCCTCAGAGAGGGACCGAGAGCGGCCGCACAGCGCTGGAGTGCTGCACGACTACAGCAGAAACCGCTATTTTGGCAACACATTAACTGTGGGAGGGGGGCAGGGTAGGGGCCATGCATGGACCAATACAAGAGATAACTATATTCATAATAAAACCAGCAAAACCTCACGACAACCAGGGAGGCCACGGTCCAACAGTTACAGCTTCACACCACAGAACCGCCCCTCCATGATACCAGGTATATCGTCTGTGACAGGAAACCCCAGTGAGGAGAAAGAGGGGGCCAAAGCCAGCGATGGAGGGTGGATCAAAGTGGAGCGACAGAAAAGATTACCACGTCAGGAGAATAAACAAGTCAGAGGTCGACAGAGAAGGGGGGGCAGGGGAGGGGGTGGTGCTGGAGGGAGAACCTAATGTGTGGCACACATGAACTGACACCTTCTTAACATAAAAAGGTTTTACATATAAATGATGTCTGCTTATATACTCACAAATGAACTGCTTGTTATAAGAGAATCCCACTGATGCCTATGATGTAATATATGTATAAACATACGGTTTTGTTTTTTAAAAACTGGCAGGTTGATTTTAATGATTAATGATTTGTTTTAAATCGACAATTCACTTCACTTCCCACCTTTTAATATATAGCAGATGGCTTCCAGTGTGGTGGATGCATATTTTCAATTTTTTATTTAACAGCCCAGTTTATCTGATGTAATTGAATTAAATGTTTTGACACCCTTACCCATGATAAATGTTAATTTCTTCAAATCCATAACCTCTGAGTTGCCCCTGTTGTGTCTCTTTTTTATTTTTGGTGCAGAAATAAAACATGATATATATGATAAATAAAATAAGGCAACGCCCTTATTGATCCCAAGTGGGAAACTCGGATGTTGCAGCAGTACAGAAGTACATATGAGCATTACAAACAAAATTACAGGGCAAAGATGATAGTGGTTGTATGTGATAAGTATTGGAGCAAGTGAAGTATTGTGTTTATGAACATACACCAGACTAAAACATAAAATACATTAATGGTGGTATTAATGTGGAAACAAACTAAAGTATATGGTGTAGTGCCGAGAGATAGGGAGTCTGAGGCGGTGCAAGGAAGGTGCAAAAGGGTACTTTATTGGAGACCAACTAAGGTCATGTTGTCCGGTTGCAGTCCGGGAAGAAGAGAGAGAAAAGAGGAGGGCACACAACATATATAGTAAAACACATAACATGTCCGTGTGGGAACAATACCCCCAACTGTAGTGCCGCCATGTATGAATTATGAACCCAGTGTATAAATAGGTGGTCACCACAATGGTGTACTTAAACCATATAACATAGTAACATATATTCGGGCCATGGTAAAAAGTAAAAGTACATTACAGAGCCAAAAGTGCGAAGTCTGGTGCCCACCCCAGCCTTGCTCTTATGTTCAGGCTTCAATCATTCCCACTTCCTGCTCTTTATGTTACCTCTTTTTGTCAACTCTCATTTTCGTTGTCACTCTTTAGTGCTATATTATATTATTATTCCTTTGTATTCAGTTAATTACACTGAATTCCCACACCTCACTTTTTACTTTCCCCACGTATAAACATTCCTTTATCAACTGTAACCCATGACTGTAACCCACATAAAGTTGAACTAAAATATTCATTTTATTAAGTCTGAAGACAAGGTCATATTCAGTCGTGTCCTGTCTGCTTTAACGTGAAGTGACTACTAAACTTCGGTCAGATCATGTGACCTCTTTTAATAGTTGCAGAGTTGGGCAAGGGCTCACTTTTTACCCGCGTTGCATGCAAATAAAAATTCGCGCCACTGCAAAGTACATGGAAGGCACACAACAATCATTGCCTTACTGTGCCACAAATGTATACGTTTGATTCGAAATAAAATATCAAACACGTTTACAAATCTTAGAAATTACTTTTGGTTGTATATTTGTTTCTCAGTGTTTTACAAAAAGGTTATCATTTTGTTAAACTAGCTGACTACATTTTATACATCTTCCAGGACTTTCTGGTGGCGCGGGAACTGAACAGCCTGTGGTTGGCTGCAGCTGCAGGTCCTGCATTGTTCACTCACTGCAGAGCTGTTGCTGTACACTGACTTTCTCTCTCTTTATCGGCCAAGATTATTAAAAAAAGAACAATGCCATCCACCCGCTCACAGGTAAGAAAAGCAGCCTACAATTGTGTTAACTTGCTCCAGCTATATTGTGTTTGGTTAGCTTTTTGATGATTAGAAACTTGAACACTTAACATTTAAATCGAACGTTTCCACCAACGGTTAACATTACCAACTTGCATTCAACGTTTCAAGACTTAAAACATGCAAAAAGCGAGTAGTCAAACATGTTAATTTCGGCAATGTAAGCTTTAAATTGTTAAAGAGTGTACCACCCGCCTCCTCGTGTAACTTAAGTTAACTTTTTAAAGTTGAGTTGTAAACTTTGCTTGTTAATTCGCAGTAATGGCCATCAATGAGTTGTATTGAGATATCCTATCAGCCAGTTGCATGGCTTACAAAGTTTGATTTGCAACAGGGGTTAGTTTAGAAACACTAATCGATCATTGTATTACATTCTTCAGAGGAAATTATTATAACTCTCAAGCCATTGAAAAAACTAAAATATGCAAAAGTACCCAGCTTTTCTTTACATATATACATATATATATATATATATACATATATATATATAATAAGCTGGGTTATATATATATATATATATATATATATATATATAAAACAGTATTTTCTGATGACAAATAAAGATGTTTGAGCATTTCAGACTAATATTGTAAAGAATAATCGATACTTGTAGCACTACCGTCGACCATTTTAGGACTCAAAAAAATCACTTGAAGAAAGTCAACTTTTAGCTTTGTAAAAGTTGATTTAGAAGTTTGTGCCTATATTTGCAACTGCCTGATTTAAGTTCAGAGGTCAGAGATATCAGTCTTAACAATGAAGTTAGATTAACTGTATAGAGTTCATTATACCCATAGAAACCTTTCAGTGCACCTGGTTATTAGAAGGCTATTTTCTAAACTTACCTGTTATTTGCAGAAAATGGCTGCCCAGTCTCCATCCACCAGGATGAGTCTGAGGAGCTTCCGCAGTGTCCCTCTGGTTCCCATGGAGACATCCTCTTCTGATGACAGCTGTGATAGCTTTGGCTCTGATGGAGGCTTTGCAAACACGGTAATTAAAAACAAATCTCAAAGTCTTCCTATTCCTATTAAAAGGTAGTGAATGTGTGATGTCTTTGCAACACCTCCTGAAACTAAAGATTGTGTCTGTGTTTTAGAAGAGCAGCTTAAGATCCACGAGGAGGATGGCAGAGAAGCCAAAGGTGTTTGAGGCTTCATCAGAGGAGGATACATGCAGTGGGTTTATGGACAGCATGATCAACAACCAGATGAAAGCCATGGTAGGTTCATAGTGGGAAAAAATTGCAAACTTCACCCAGCAGCACGAACGTTTTCTCTAATCACTAATTGTATTTTCTTATAGAAAGTAAACTCTCCGAGACGTGGCCGCAAGTCCACCATCCTTAAGGTTGCCATGACATTCCCCACTAAGAAGACGGGCATGAAGAGGCCGGCGTCCGAACCACTCGCTCAAACCAAAGTACAGGACTCCGACTCCGAGGAGGAAGACACCTTCATGAGCAAGAGAGCCAGTAACATTAAGGAGAACAAAGAAATGGTACAATTTGCTATATTTATTTCCATTGCTTACAGCATTTGGTTATATGAACTGAACTCTCACCAGACAGCCTCCTATGTTATTGTGTTTTATTTACTCTGTTATTTATTTGTATTAGCTGGCAAAGCTCATGGCAGAGCTGAACAAAGTACCTGGACTCATCCCGAGGCGGATGGCCATGTCTGCTTCCACTACGGTAATTTACCCTGACAATAACCTATTCAAATCTGACCTTACACTTCTCACTGGAGCACACTGGGCTTTATACATTGTTTCAGTCCGTTGTGTCCTTGGGCAAGACACTTCACCCGAATTTGCTCCTGTGGGTATTGTACACAGTAGATGACCATTACATGTATGATCTGTATGTGTAATGTGTATTTGTAAAGCGCTATAATAAATACAAGGATTATTATTATCCATCGTTTGTATTAATTGGTGCTATTTCATCTTCTTTAGCCTCGTCAGGCACCTCGTAGATCCATGGGGACGCCAGTACCTCGTCGGAGAAACCCAGAGCGTTTGTCCCGCCCCCACACACGGTCCCGCACACAAGTGGACGGACCCCCCAGCCCAACTCTAGAGGAAGAGCCCGAGGACAAGTTCAGCCTGGTTCGCAAAAGCCGCTTCTTTGAAGAAGATGATGAGCCAGTAAGTCACACCCCAACAAACGGTTGTTTCTTTGGTCACCTTTGATGTTACATGAAAATAGTGTACATGAATTAATACATTTCTGTTCATTTGCAGCTCCGCCGCCGTGTCTTCAACGGCCAGAAGGCCATCCAACATGTGGTGCGGCCTGTGGACGAGATCACAGAGGCGGAGCTGCAGGGCATCTGCAACAACGTGCGGGAGAAAGTGTACAACAGCTCCACCGTAAGTCCCACATTCACCGTATTGCTGAGCAGCATTGTTGTTGAAGATTAAGGACACAGGTAAACAAATATATATATTTATATATATATATTAGGGCTGTCAGTCGATTAAAACATTTAATCGCATGATTGTCCATAGTTAATCGCGATTAATCGCACATTTTTGATCTGTTCTAAATGTACCTTAGAGGAATATTTTTCAAGTTTTTAATACTCTTATCAACATATGAGTGGACAAATATGCTTTATGCAAATGTTTATTATCATTTGAACAATGACAAATATTCTCATGAATATTAAACACAACAACCTCTGAACATTACAAATGTTCAGAGGTTGTTGTGTTTAATATTCAATACTGTGATAATAATAATGCAATAATGTGTTTAATACTCAATTCAACCTGGAACCTCTCATACAATATAGTGTGTGTGATGGATCGTTGGAGCTATGTGCAACTCAAGGCATATGCTCGAACGAGAGCTGCCTGGACGCTGTAATCATGTTGCGCACTATCCGTGCTGAGTGTGCTGACTTTTCGTACAATGTCCCACTGTCTGGCTGCCTGCATAAAGTCAAGTGCTCGGCGCAGTTGTCGGCGAAATGTCGCTCCTCTGTTTTCATTTAAACAGCTCCTTATATCCGTTAGCGCAGCTAGCTAGCACCAGATGCTAACAATACACGTAACTTGGTCTCTCTCTCGCTCGCTCGGGCCACACGACACATACACACACCCTCCCGGTCCTCCCGATGGCCAGTCGGTGCCTGCCGGTGAGCGTGGAAGTGTGGTCTCCCGCAAGCGGACGGCAGGAGCGGGGCTGTCAGCATCAGCTTGTAGATGGTATTTTAAACTAGATGCGCTCTGAAACTACGGGGCGGCCGAGGACAAAAAATACACATGCGTTAATCGCGTTAAAATAATTAGTGGCGTTAATTTTCTTTTGCGTTATTAACGCGTTAACTTGACAGCCCTAATATATATATATATATATTCTGAGTTTTATGACACTAAATCAGAATTGAAAATGTTTTGTAAATCTCGTCCCATCTTACTTTTTGGTCCTTATCTTTTCCATGACATTTATGAATTATCTTTCATTTTAGGGATCAACTTGCCACCAGTGCCGCCAGAAAACCATTGACACCAAAACCAACTGCCGCAATCCAGAGTGTGTGGGGGTGAGGGGTCAGTTCTGCGGCCCGTGTCTCCGTAACCGCTACGGAGAGGAGGTCCAAGACGCTCTTCTGAATCCAGTGAGTACCTTTTTTAAACATGCATGGTTGCATTCACATTTGATCATGTGTGCGTTGGCAAAGTCTGACCAACTTTTTATTGCCCTTGTTAGGAGTGGGAGTGCCCGCCATGCAGGGGGATCTGTAACTGCAGCTTCTGTCGGGCCAGAGACGGTCGCTGTGCTACGGGAGTGTTGGTGTACCTGGCTAAATATTGTGGATATGATAATGTGCACGCCTATCTGAAAAGGTAACTAGAGCGCTATCAAAAGGATTGTCTATTTAGATTTAAATGTATTTTTTTTTCATTCACTAAGATTCTCTTTACTCCAGCTTGAGAAAGGAAATGGAAGAGAGCAGCGACTGAGGTGCTGATCCTGGACCTGACTGACGTGTTCTGACCGGTTTTACCTCCGCACCGTCCAAATGTTGTTCATGGTGTTTCCAGCATTACAACACAATACTTGTTGTTCCCGTTTGTGATGTTTCACATACTTTCGGAGCATTGACTGACATCTGGAGGAGACACTTTGAGAGTTCTTTCCAGCCTAAAGCTTGTTTTGTTATTGTTCCTCATATTTTCCTGCCTGTTCTAAAGAGCTGAACCTTTTTACGTTAAGACTGGTTGATTGTACACTAAGGTGGACCAAAACAGGAAAATTGTTCAAACATTCCTATGTGTTAAGATGAATTATGTTTGTTTTCCTAGCATCTTTCTCTTTTTTATTGCTGAATCATCCAAATTGCTCCAAAAAACAATCGGGTTGTTTAGTTATACTGTATCTTACATTGTTTTAAATGTACATATTTTACACTGCCCACTCTAACATGAATCTGATCTTCAAATGTATGCTTGTGTTTTTACAAGATTTGTAGCCATTTTTAAATCTGCAAAAAGTGTACATGTAAAAACAACATATGATATATTTTAGATTGTATGTGCTGCAGAAGTGACCCAATGCTCTGTCTGGTGGCTGCAGGGGGAAAGGGCCCCGGCTCTGGGGTCCACTGCCTCTCACTGCTAAGCCGAAAGGAACTGTGTGATATAGTACAGCGCCTGGTTAAATATCCTTCATTAGATAACTGTCACTAATGGTGTGGAAACAATTAGCACCCTCTAATGGGAATCTCATACCTGTAAATCATTTTCTCCTGTTAAAGCACATTCTCGCTCTGCTCCAGTCTCTTTGGCTCATTTTCTGCCTTACACTGTTAAGTAGGAATGGTTGAAGGTGCCACTGAAGAGGCAATAGAGTTATGGCCTGCATTTTCTGTTCAGAAGTGCGATACTCTACGCGAAATGACATGAAATTAACCTTTGCGTCGCCTTGAAATGTACTTCATTTGACCTGCACCAGGACACTGATTATACGATACTGTTTAAAAAATAATCAGTTTGAGATTTCTTCTTCAGCCTAATGGCAGGGGGAGGTTGTTTTACTGCTGCTTGTGTTTATTAGGCACTCCACCCCTAACAGGAAGAGTGATGCTTAACTGTTGATGGCAATATCTGTTATTGGGATCTTGCTTTGTTCTCATTGAGGTAACTGTAAATGTTCATTAAAGCTTTAATCCTTGCGGAATCATGTTATCAGTTTTCTTTGACTTGACCATCACTCTATCCAGAACAGTGGCAGCTGTAATTACTGTTATTGAAACATGGAGGAGGAATCCTGAACGCTGCTGGTGATTGAAGATGTTAGGGAGCATGAAGGCTGGAGGTTTAACATTTCAACCATTGTAACAAGCTACAGTGTTTATAGTAAATGTGCAATCCCTAAGAAGGTAACAGATTAAAATAACCTGGCTAAAATGTTGTATGTGCTGCTCCTAAACTATCGGCACAAGCTTAAATTAGTCAATTTAACATTGATTTTTTTTTTTAAAGATTGTTCATAATCTAAATTCAAAGAAAATGTTTAATGGTTAATTTAAGGAGTAAGGGAAGCAAAGTATGTACACTGCCCTTTGGTTTTTCATTTAATGCTAATTTATTAAATGATTCACTAAGAACATTGATGGGTTTTGAAGCGTTTTTTACTGATCAATCACAACTTCCTGGCCCAAAGGAGACTTTTCTTAGGAGACTTATGGCGCGTTTCCACTGCAGCGGGTAGCTCGCTTTAAGCGTGCCGAGCCGTGCGGGGCCCGTTTTTGGTTGCGTTTCCACTTGGCCTAGTACCGGCTAGCTTTCTGGCCCGACTAAATCGTGGTTCTAGGGCCAGGAACAACCAAGCTGAGTCGGGCTGAGTATGCTAAACTAGAGAGAGAATCGCTGGCAAGGGGGCTACAACTACAACAAGATGAACATATTTGACCGTGATTTAATTGCAATACACGTTTCAAAAATGATGCCGAAGTAACATACTGATACCGGTTAGTAAAAACCATGAATTAATGCTTTGACAAGTCTGCAGACAGACGGCAGACGAAAAACCATTTTAAAATGCGTGTTTTCTAAATGGAGCTTGGCTAAGCTAACGTTATATATGCTCCGACCGTCCACACTCACAACAACGGCCTATACAGACATAAATAAACCAGCGACTATATTCGCCATGACACAGGCAGTCTGTGGTTTGTACTTGTTTAACTTTTGTCTAGTTTCTGAACAGATATGAAGAGCTGTGAGCTCTGAGTGCTAAGAGCTAACGGCTGTGTTGTTTTTCTGGGGCGCTCATTGAAGATGACGTCACGGCTCCGCCTACACTGCGTTACTATAGTAACTACCCCAGTTCCTAAACTGTAATGGAAGCGCAGCATACATCGGGGAGATGTCTGTAAAACTGATTATTTCTTAACGTAAATCAACTTCCCAGTAAAAACTTTTGAATAGCCCCTTTTTAAATCACTAACTCCTGAAGGTTGTAAAATGCATTTTTAGCCCCGATGGAGCCACGGTTTAAGGAAACGCTAGTGGGCTTTTCAAGAGCCCTATGTTCGGAGATGAAAGATCCGGGAAATCTTGAACTCAAATGACGTTTTTAACTTTAAAGACATACAGTGACTTTTATTGCATCCTGCACTATTTATTAAGCCTTTTGTGTTTTTTGTTTTGGGAGGTCTTGTGTGCATGTTTGTGCATGTGAGTCCCTACCTTCATGTCCCAGTGAAGCGTTCATACTGCGATTACCTCTGATGGAGGGAGGATGTCGAGGTGGAGGAACAGCGCCCACTCACAGGTTCCTCCCCAGTTTAACACTGTTAGCACTGATACCTTTTGAATTTGTCATTCAAACCCTACACTTAACTAATCACTTGACTATAGCCAACTCAAGTGATAGAGACATTTACTAGCACAATTAAACAAACAAAAACAATTGAATATATTTGTTAAAACAAATGCATAATGGAAAAAATAAAACTTGGTCATGTTTTACCAGGCATACAAAAAGAGAAAAAATAAATAAGTGGATTAAATACATGTGTAGAATCTGTAATAATGTTACATTTAGACCAGTCTAACTCATATACAATAAACATGAATGGAAAATTCTTTACATTATACAATCCATTAGATACACTAAATGTGGTAAATGGTTAAAAATGACTATTTAGAACCACCTCACTGGCACACATTTCACAACCTTCACATTCATATTTGTATTGGGTTGTTTGTATTGTACTGCAATAACCAAATATACATAAATATATAATACTCATACTTTTCAACGATTAATAAGAGCACAACTTCTAATAAATAACCAATTGTTTTCTTCTAAAATGAACATTTATAAAAACTAGTATTAGTATAATAAAGATGCACTTGAAAATACTAGTCCTGTATTAAATACCAATGATCATCCACTTTGGGGTGATGAATATTTAGGGAAGTAATTGTTTACAACGCTCAAGCATTGAGCTGATCTGGTAATCAGGCTATGAAATACAATATTTATTCATTAGAGCAGATTTAATGAGGCCTTGCGGCGCTAATTATGAAACCCAGTGTAGCAGTAAATGAGTAGCGCACGGTGGCGGGCGGCGGGGTACCTGTGAGGAGGGACTGGGGGCTAAAGGGCTCTGAGAGCCATGGCACACCGAGCAGCAACACACAGCCCTGACTGTCCGACCCACAGCTATACATCACCGGACATGCAGACAGGTCGCAGATGGGCCCCGCATCCCAGCATGCCCTGCTCCCCTCCTACCTCCAGGAATAAAGCCTGGATTTCCCCAAAGCATCGTAATGTCCATTTCATCTGTTTTATTGCAGGACAACAAAGTAAATGTCAGTACAGTAGAGCTTCAGGTTGACGTGTTCACAGCAGCACGGATTTTAAATACCGTGCCACTCGTTCTGCAGTTTTCTATTTGTATGCAGGTCTGGAGATTTGGGGTAGGGGTTCACAGTATAATATGGAGTTTGATTGACTGATATTTTCATTATGGCTGCAGGGTAGCGTGAAGACTGTTAATTTGCCAGGGAGTCCTGCAGGTCTGCGGTGATTGTAGCAGAGCCAGAAGAAAAGCTGAATAAATGAAACTCACAGGGCACAATCACAATCTGTGGGTCAAAATCAACTGATTAATTATAATTTAGACTCAATCTGTCAGGCCTCTGTAATAAACACCATTTCAGGCTTGCTGCTTACTAATCAGCTTTACACGGTACAAATTGAACAGTGTACACCATGTAAAGCGGAGTTATTGCAGGGAACACATACAAGATAATTGGATAAATGCTGATCCTGATGGTAAAATGGTATCTCGACTGTTCCTATACCTTCTTGTTGCAGCTCAGCAAGACAACTTTCCGAACAAGAATGTCTCTTGTGGCTCTGACCTCTACATCTTGGAGAGTGTAGTGAGGAGAGTGCTGTTAAATGCACAGTGAGTGACTCTGGGTGGCAGGAGGCTTATGACATGTTCCTTTCCTCCTGTTCCTGCCTGCAAAGTGATGGAAACAGCAGTTTGGTCCAGGTGTCAGGGACATTATCAAAGAAAAGGGCTGCCTGCAGTTGCTCCATCTCACAGGAAATTGCCAACTCACCCTAACAAAGAAAGGCATAAGTGCACTTGCTGCTGCCTTCAAGGGGAGCGTGATAAGATGACATTATAAATACAGAATTGTTCATGGAGGTGGAGGGGTAGACACATCAGGTAGCTGAACTTGACAATTCTGTTTTGTATGTGCATGCCTAAAGCCTGTGTTGGTTTATCTAAAAACAAAATCTGATTCTTATTTACTTGGGATTCCTACATTTTGTGTAAATGTTAAGCTGGTATTGTGGATGTCTGCATTTGAAGATGCTAGCAAATCAAATAGTTTATCACTTCAGTTTCAAGAGAAGTAAGACAAGTCACTGAAAACACGATATGAATTACACAAAGCATATGGGAATTGTGCAAAAATCTCATGTACACCTAACATACAGTGATTGTGTACGGTAAGTTAACGGTAAGCAGTAAATCATTTGGAGGGTTTTCATGATTTTGCACATTTTGTACAATATACATCACAGTAAGAATAATAAGTATGGGATTTACTCATGGATTTTATCTGCACATTTCATTAGAAGAGGTTTGTCTTTTCAAAACAACTGAGGAATCTTTGTCGAAAATATATAAATACACACTTTCATAGAAATGAAGCCTGCAAAATACACACTCATGATCTCTCAGTGCAGATGCTAAATGGACACCCTGTAACGCTGCTGCCTCTCATCGTTCAGTCTCATTATACCTCCTGGTTCCTGAGGGGGGAGCTCTAATACAGGCAACTTGCTGCACTTTATCTCCCTACAACTTTCAACAAGTCTTCAGGAAGTACTGAAGGAGAAAGTAAAAGGGCTATCAGAAATTCTTTACCTCACACATCTCATAAATTTGATCCAATAAAAAGGACCCTCTGCAAACTAGTAAACGCTCAAAGAGTCTTGTAACATGTGGCAGAGATTCAGTACAGCTCGGTACAGCTAGTGTCTTAAAGAAGAGCTTGTGATGGACCTGGAGCATCGGAGCTGAACAGTCAGTGATGTGACAGGAGGACAATGACATTGTCTGTGCACAGTGTTGTGAAACTTCACATTAAATTCTCTTAAGGAGTCCAGCAGCACACTTTGACTGTAGCAGGGGGAGGGGGAGGTGGGTGTAATTATGACCAGGGGAACACAGGGCTGTAATCTGTAAATCTATTCTTACCCTAAGTGAGAACTGGTACATTGGATTGATTTTATTGAGATCATACATTATAAATGGGGCATGGAGGAGCTTACAGCCTTGAGATGGTGGTGCTCACGTGCTTCATTAATTTTTACTTCATTAACTCTCTCCTTCAGACCCTTCAACACACAATTCATTGCCGGCCATGAATCCAGGCTACAGGCAAATGGACAAGCCCGGGACGACTTTCAGTGGAGTGGATACACCGAAGTAACGCTGTCAAAACAAATCAGTAACACATGAAATATACATAACCCCGGATCAATCCCTATTCATGCGAGAGGTCACATCTCTTTGGAACTTGTGGCTTTTACATAGAATAAAATAAGAGGTTCATAAAGAATAAAAGTATTCAATCCAATCACAATAAGATGACACGCCGTATCAATTTAGCTGTCAAAAAAGTCATTACAGCCAG